GCAGGCTCAGCGGCCGTGGCTCACGGTCCCAGCCGCTCCGCGGCATGTGGGATCCTCCCGGACCGGGGCACGAACCCGCTTCCCCTGCATCGTGGACTCCCAACCACTGCGCCACCAGGGGAGCCCCTCATTTTTTATTTAATAACAGCTAGCATTTATTAAGCATTTACTATGTGCCAGGTATTTGCAAGGGGCGTACCAACATTCTCACTGAATCTTTTTTCTTTTCTATTATGGTTTATTACAGAATATTGAATATAGTTCCCTGTGCTATAAAATAGGACCTTGTTGTTTATCCATTCTGTATATAGTAGTTTGCATCTGTTAGTCCCAAACTCCCAATCCAGCACTCCCCACCCTGGTCTGCCTTGGCAACCAGAAGTCTGTTCTCTACGTCTGTTAGTCTATTTCTGTTTCGTAGATAAATTCATTTGTGTCATATTTTAGACTCCATGTACAACTGATATCATATGGTATTTGTCTTTCTCTTTCTGACTTATTTTGCTTTGTATGATAATCTCTAGGTCCATCCACGTAGCTGCAAATGGCATTATTTCATTCTTTTTGGCTGAGTAGTATTCCATTGTATGTATGTAACACATCTTCTTTATCCATTCCTCTGTTGATGGACATTTAGGTTGCTTCCATGCCTTGGTTATTGTGAATAGTGCTGCTGTGAACATAGGGGTGCATGTATCTTTTCGAGTTACAGTTTTCTTCAGATATATGCCCAGGAGTGGAATTGCTGGATCATATGGTAACTCTATTTTTAGCTTTTTGAGGAACCTCCGTACTGTTCTCCATAGCAGCTGCACCAGGTAACATTCCCACCAACAGTGTCGGAGGGTTCCCTTTTCTCCACACCCTCTCCAGCATTTGTTATTTGTAGACTTTTTTTTTTTTTCTTTTTTTTTTTGCGGTACACGTGCCTCTCACTGTTGTGGCCTCTCCCGTTGCGGAGCACAGGCTCTGGACGCGCAGGCTCAGCAGCCATGGCTCACGGGCCCAGCCGCTCCGCGGCAGGCTCAGCAGCCATGGCTCACGGGCCCAGCCGCTCCGCGGCATGTGGGATCTTCCCGGACCGGGGCACGAACCCCGGGGGTGCGCGTTCAGTCACTGGTCGGGGAACTAAGATCCCACATGCTGTGCAGCCAAAAAAAAAAAAAACCCCAATATTCTTCTAATCAAAGGGCATGGGATATCTTTCTGTTTCTTTGAATCATCTTTAATTTCTTTTATTAATGTTTTATAGTTCTCAGTGTATAACTCTTTCACCTCCTTGGTCAGCTTTATTCCTAAGGTGTGTTTTTTTTTTTCTGGCTGCGTTGGGTCTTTGTTGCCGCGCGCAGGCTTTCTCTAGTTGTGGCGAGCAGGGGCTGCTCTTCCTTGCAGCACGCAGGCTTATTGCGGTGGCTTCTCTTGTTGCAGAGCACGGGCTCTAGGTACGTGGGCTTGGTAGTTACAGTGCACGGGCTTAGTTGCACTGCGGCATGTGGGATCTTCCCAGACCAGGGCTCGAACCCGTGTCTCCTGCATTGGCAGGCAGATTCCTGCATTGGCAGGCAGATT